TTTTACCCTCAGGTAATGTCTACCTTTGTGCCTTAGGTGTGTTTCTTGTATGCAACAGATTGCTGGGTTTTGTTTACGTATCCATTCTGTTAATCTGTGTCTTTTTACTGGAGACTTGAGTCCATTGATGTTGAGAGAGATTAATGACCAGTGGCTGTTAGATCCTTTGATATTGATGTTGGCTGTGTTCATAAGGTTGTGTGCTTGGTTGCTTTTTGTTTTGCTGTAGTAAGGTTAATTATTTCCTGTGTTTTCTTGACAGAAGCTAATTTTCTTGGGTTGTATTTTCCCTTCCAGTGTCTTCTGTAATGCTGGATTTGTGTGTAGGTATTGTTGAAATTTGTTCTTGTCATTGAATATCTTGTTTTCTCCGTCTATGAGGACTGAGAGTTTTGCAGGGTATTTTTTGGATTTAACATTTTCTTTGACAGATACGTCGATTTCTTCCATTGTATCTTCTACACCTGAGATTCTTTCTTCCATTTCTTGTATTCTGTTGGTTATGCTTACCTCTGTAGTTCCTGTTTTCTTCCCTAAATTCTTCCTCTCCATTATTTCCTCCATTTGTATTTTCTTTAATTTTTCTAGTTCTATCTTCAGGTCTTGAGTTGGTTTGTTTACTTCCTTCACCTGTCTGCTTGTATTTTCCTCTTTTTCTTTTAGTTCCTTCAACTCTGTCTCTTTTATTTCTTTCAGTGATTTAATTATTTCTTCTCTGAAGGCCACAAGCTGTTTGGCTGCATCTTCCCGTATTTCTTCATGGATGGCCCTAATCTGCTTGTCTTTATCCTCCTCCATTTCTTTACGGATAGCCATGATCTGTTTGGTTTTATCTTCCTCTAATTCTTTACGTATTTTATTTGTTTCCTCTATTATCCTCTTCATCAACATAGATGTAAGGTCATCTTCTTGATTTTCTATTATGCTGCATTGTTCAGGGCTATTCGCCTCTGGATGGCTGGGTTCTGGAGATGCCATATTGCTCTGTCTTTTGTTGGTTGAGCCTTTACACTGACTTCTACCCATTGGGCTGATTTAGGTGTTGGCTGTTAGTTTCTGTGCTTCCTGGAGTCCTGAGGTAGGGAGTATCCCCTTGGCCGGAAGATGATTTTTCCTGAAGGAGTCCTTCTCTGCTTTTTGGTTATGGTCACTGTATGGCCAGTGTTTCTCAGGAGTTGCCACTGCTCACCTCAGGTTTATAGCCCTGAGTAGTAGCTGTGGTCTATGTTAGGCAGGGGGGGATCTCCTCTTACCCATAGAATTTCTCAAGACAGCTGCCCCACTGCTGGGTTTCTTGTTATAAATTTAGTGTGCTGCTGCTCACTAAATTTCCATGTACAGTCTTCTTGAAGAACCTGCTGATTCCCTAGCTGTGGGGTTTTCTCCCAACAGGAAAACTCAGTCTGTTATCCTGGGGCGCACAGTTCTGTCCGGGAAAGTGGGAGGTGCACTCAGCAAGTCTCTGGGCCAGAGGCTGATTGCTCTGCTCTGGACCTGGAGAATGTGCACCTAGGTTGAGTTGGCTCCTGGGGGCACTGTTCTGGTCTGGAGGCTGGGTGCCTCACTCTGGACCAGAAGCTGTGTGTCTCTGTCTGGGATGGCAGCTGCCAGCACTGCTCTGGTCCAGACGCTGTGGGTGCAGCCCTCTTGAAGGACCAGGGATTCCCACAGTTTTGACAGTCTAGCTAGGAATAACTGGTTGATCCTTGGCACAGTATCTGAGGGCTGCTGTAATGGCTCTCTGGCTTTTGTAGGTCTGAGGATGCAGCTGTGTGTCCCAGTGCCCCAGGGGAACGCAACAATGGCGGCAGAGCACAGTGCTCCTCCCTGCACTAGAGTCTGTGTGAGTCCAGGAAGTGTTTTGGTGCTGGGTGTCCTAAGCGTTAGAGCTGCTGACCCCCTCCGCTGGGGGTTTCCTCCTGCCAGAGACACGCAGTCTGGTGCCCTGGTGCCCTGGTGCCCACAGTTCTATCTGAGGCGGCGAATCACGTGCGCAGGCAGGGCTCTGTGCAGGCAGGCGCCTGTGTCCCGGCTCTGGGTCCGGACTGGCTCTTGGGGCACCCGGGGAACCCGAGTCTTTTCCAGGGGATGTCTGGGTAACCTGGGGTCGGTCCCAATTGTTTCCTACTCCGTGGGGTTACCTCTCGACTGGGAAATCCAGTCTATGGTGTTGTGGGCCCACAGTTCAGTCTGGGTCCGTGACCAGTTTGCGCTGGCGGGTAGCTCTGGTCTGGCGACCAAGCGCCTGGCGGAACCGGGATCTCTTCTGCCATTTAGCCGGGTGAGTTAAAGCTGATTGAATCCCCCATGGTGGGGTATCCTCTCACCTGTGAAACACAATCCCTTGTGTTTTATGGCCGCGAGTTCTGATTGCTGGTCACTGTGCCAATCCTGCTGTGCTGCTCCTCAGAATGAGAGTCCTCCCGGCGCCGCCATCTTGCCCCCCAGATTTTCTTCTTTTTGCCGGTGGTTTGATTTTTGAGGCAAGGCTGGAACTCACTATGGCCTGGCTCTTGGTTAATGAACTCCAGAGATCCACCTGTCTCTGCCTCCCCAGAGCAGAGAGAACAAGTGCATAACATCACATTGGCTATCTTTCACATGAATTCTGTGGGGTCAGGCTCAGGTCTTTATGGGCAGCTATGTCTCCAGCCCTAAAAGCCAAGTCTTTGGGGTTTTTTCTTGTTGTTTGTTTGTCTTTGGTTTTTGTTGTTGTTGTTTTGTTTTGTTTTTACTGGTGATGATACGGAGAAACTGTATTGATAGGAAAGTAAAATGATACAAGGATGGAGAGATAACTCAATGGCTAAGAGCACCGCTGCTCTTCCTGAGGATCCAGGTTCAATTCCCAGAACCCACATGACAGCTCACAACTGTTTGTAGCTTCAATTCCAAGGAATTTGGTACTTTCACAGACATATATGCAAGCAAAACATCAATGCAAATAAATAAATCTTAAAAAAAAAAACATTACTCTGAAAATAATTTAGCAATTTATCATAAGGCATATAAATTAAACACACACATATAACAGAATGTTAGTAGAAAACTAAAGGCCTATAAATAACTTAGTAGAGGTTAAAACCTAAAAATTAACATTAAATTAATCTATGACCTAACAATTGTGCTTTTTTTTGGGGGGGGGGGGGTTCAAGACAGGGTTTCTCTGTAGACCAGGCTGGTCTTGAACTCACAGAGATTCAACTGCCTCTGCCTCTCAAGTGCTGGGATTAAAGGTGGCATGGGCCACCACCCAGTACGATTGTGCTCTTGATCAAATAAAATGAAACAACACATGAACATTTATAGAGTAAACCTGTAACAGTTAAAAGCTAAAAGCTTGTGTCTTCTAATAGATCAATGATTACACATGAATTGAGAGGAATTATGTAAACTTCATTCATTGTATCTGAGGATAGAGCAGAGCAGGATACCTGTCAATTTTTTTTTCTTTCTGTGAATAAGTGACAGTTGGAGGGAAACGTGAACAGAAGAATTTTGTATTTGCTATACTTGTAACTCTTGACCTTTTGTAAGGGAGTGTATTCATGTATTTCAGGTAATCCTGTTAAACTCATTGTCCATGAAAAATTGGGAGGGATGGCTCTATCTCCTCTAGTCACTCTATCCATCAGAGATCAAGTTGGGAAACAGAAATAACGCTAACCAAAGATTTAACACCAGGAAGTAAATGCTTATTAAGTCTCCAGAAGGCAGAGTGGGGAGGCTCTGGATAAGACACCACTCTGTGGCATAGGCTATCCAAGCAGCCCAGGCTACTCCCTTTATAATACAATTGGCCTCAGGGTTATAATTCTTCTACCTCTACTCCCAAGTGCTAGAGTTGGAGTTGTGCCACCACACCCAGCTTGGAATCATCTTATTAATCTGAAAAATGTTCTCAAGCCTCAAAGGTCTTTGTGTTAATTATACAAGAATTTTCTCCCATTTCACCATCTCGAGGGACCACAGAAGAAAGAGCCCCCATCTAAGTCACAATTGACACAAAATTGTGAGGTGGGGCGTGCCAGCAGCAGGGCTTCTCATGAATTGACCTAAGCACTTCCGTGCGTTGCATCTCCCTCCTGCTTCTCCCTCCCCAGGGACAGCTCCATCTGGCACTGACTCCACTTGGCCAAGCTTTGGACACACTGAGTGTTACCTTTCAGGAATAGTCTCATTTGGCAGAGGTGAATAAAAATGCTTGTAACATCATTTTTAAACAAATCGAGATATTATCAAGTGACCACAAGGTGTGCACACGGGTGTCTGGAATATAACCCTGTGCCAACATAAATCACTACTGTCTTTACCTGTTCCTCCTGAGCTGTCACCACTACTGTCAAAGACATTTCCAGAAAACAGAAGCAGGAGAGAGCCCATCCTTCCTATCATCTTTCATTTCTTGTGTGGCTTTCCATTGGCTAGCTGCAAGTCAGCCGACAAGAGAATCTAGAGAATTAGTTTCGATATATGATAGATTGTAGAGGGTGTGAGTGGGGGGAGGAGGAGAAGTAGGCAGACGGTGGTCATGAGGGAAACTGTCTACTGCCACCTGAATTACACCTACTAAACCCTGTCAAGATGAGGTGAAAGTACCAGCTACACATCTGGTTCAAACTGCATCATTGGCTGGGATGCCAGGACCATGGCACAGTGGTCTAACACTGAGCTAAGCCCACCCCCCTCACCCTAGACAAAATTTGAAAACCGCTACAGGTAATCCCTTGACACCTTCAGGAAAATACTGTTTTGCCCTCCACAGCTGACATGGTAGCTTTTTGTCCTTGACTCTTGAAACACCAGTCTTTGGTTTTGCTCTTATACTCTGCAGTGGATTCTTGCTTGACCGTAAGGAGTCCCAACTTCTAAGCTGTAATGAATCCTCAGAATGATGTTTCCATCTCTTTAACAACCAAGTCATACATTTCTTCTTTTACAGAATGGTATTTTTGGTGCAAATAATAATATTTATGTTATTTTGTTCTTTTGTCTTGAAGGCAATGTCTGTAAAATACCAAAATGTCATGTTTGCTAATGTGGATGTGGACTCATCTGAGGTAAGACCCCCTAAGTCCTCTGTGGACCATCAAAGCCCAAAAGCAATGTCACTGAATATCTCAGTATCATCACATTGTGACACCACCTGGTTAAAAAAAAAAAATGGAATTCCACATTTTTGTTTTCGTGACAAAGGTAGCAAATTGTCTTACATAGTTTTCTTTAAATATTAGCAAATATATGATACCCTCTTGTGCTGTAGCAGACTCTTCATTTCACTACTTGCCCCTCAGCCTGTTACTCTATAGGCAGACATTACAACAAAGCCATGGTGAACATTATTTTTAGGTTATGTTATTGTGTTCTAAAAACTAGCTCAGTGATTACAGACATTTTGACATACCTCACTTTGGCAATCTGTGTTTGTTGTGGGGAGGGGAGGTTGCTTAAATAGCATAAAAAAATTCCATGAACTCCTTTCCTCTTGTCCCTAGATCTGTCCTTTCCCCTTCATCTCTCACCTCCATCAAAGTAATAATCCTCATATTCTCAAGCCAAATATGTCTTATCACTATATAAAATATCTCCACAGAATTATTCTTCCTTGGCTCTGCTAATTTATAATGAGGACATGTAACTATATTAATTAGCTTTCTGTCACCATAGCAAAATGCCTAAGAGAAAAAGAAAGGTTTATTTTGTCTCACCATTTTGGATCTTTGAGTCGAGTTTATCAAAGCCCAGTTGGCTTTTGGACATGTAGGAGGCAGCACATTTGGACACGGCTATGTTGCAGAACAAAGCGATCCTGTCATGATCAGGAAGCAAAAGAGAAGAAGAGGCCAACATCCCACAGTCTCCTTTAAGGGAATAGACCCAAAGAACTAAAGGCCCTCACAGGCCTCACCTCTTAAAAGTTCCACCTCTCCCAAGAGCTCCATGCTGGAGACCAGGCTACTAACCCATGAGAGGCATTCTGCATTCCAACTATAGCAGAGGTGATGACAATTGGCCTACCCAACCATTGAAGTTGAGCTTTAAACTAATCAGAAAATCACAATTTTGTTATCTTTTGTGTCATAATTGGTCATAATTTTGTCACAAAACAAACTTGGCATACCAGGGAAGATCTGGGGTATTGTGATACTATTTGTATGAATTTTGCTGCAGATATTTCCATGTGAGCATAAGTCTTAATTTCTTTTGGTTATATCTACATGTGTGATTGTTGCCACTACACTTTATTAGTATATAGAGAAATTAAAAAACCTTTTTCCAAAGAAACTGCATCATTTTACATTCTCGTCACTTCAATAAAAGAGTTCTAATTTCCCCATATTCTTGGCAATCCAAGTTACTCTCTGCTTTTTGCCTACAGCTTTGTCTTTTAAGATGAATCGAAAGACACACTTTTCTAATAATAACTTATAGATTAGTTTTTGCCATGATGATCATAGCTAAAAATACAACTTAGTATGTATGTACTTGCTTCTTTGTGTATGTACTGTGAGTGGAAAAGAGATTTAAAGTCAATCAACAGAACTATCAGTGAGAGATGTTCAGTTCTATGTCCTATGAACAGCTAATTCCATCCAACTTCCCTTATAAACAAGGGAAACAAAAACATACCACTTGGAAGCAGCTGGATTTGGATTAAAATTATGGACTTCTGACCTCTTGTCTTTGGGCTCCAAATGCTTTAGAATTAAAGATGAGTAATGAGGGGGAAGGGTGACAAAGCTTAAAGAAACTGTGGGAGTCTTCAGTATGCCACGCCTGTCTTTGGTGTGACTGATGGAGATGGACCTTTTCCTTCCTCTTTTTTCACTGCAGTATTTTTATACTAGGCTTCCTGGGGCTCCTCAGCCACCATCCAAAGCTGTTAAACACAGCTCACTGAGCCACTTAGCACCCATCTGACCTTCAACTCGCTCCTCTCCTACAGCTCTGGAATGAGACACCCTAGGAGTTTCAGAATGGTCCTCTTTATGCAAGGTTGTCCTGGAGGCTTTGCGGGTATGTTAGAAAAATTCTGTAAAGTGTCAGGTGGCCCTAGGCTTTAAGATGAAGCTTCTTAGTAGGCACCAAGGAACACAGTTGGTACAGAGAAAGGTCACCGAAAATGAGACTTCATGCTATTTTTTTCTTTCCCAGGAATTGACTCAATTTTGTCACATCAATGCAGTACCCACATTTCAGATGTTCAAGCACACCCAAAAGGTATGTTTCCATGGAAAGCAGCAGGGATAAATAGATGATACAACCATCAGAGCTAAAATAAAAAGCCTGATGTTCCTTGCTTAAATGAAAATACTTTTTTAAATATAATTCTTAGTTTGAAAACGCCACACAGTACTGAGGGGTAGAGAAAATTCATGACTCATAATAAATCTCTCCCTGTTTGAGGCATGCACATCATAAAAATCCCACTATTCTCTCTGCTATGGGGTAGAAGTATCAAGAACCTCCCAGATAAGGAAATGATAAAATTCTTACACAGGCGCATACAGTCACACGGGATGTGGGGAAGCAGCCACCAAAAATTATCACAAGACAATACAGCGTCATGACGGTGTGCACAGGTTGGGTTCGATTCCCCTGATCCACACATACCAGTTCTCCTATTTTTACCTACGATACCCTCGGTGGCTTACTTAGTCTCTGTCCATCTTTGTTTCACTATTTGTCAAACAGAGGCCATTATAAATTTTCCCTCACAGGGTTGTTGCAAACATTAAATATGTCATCGTGACTGAAGTATGTGGTCCATTCTGGCATTAGTGGTTTAATATGTTTTACTAGTTGTTCTCCTGAAGATGTTAATGGTATAAAATGGTGAAAATACTCAGCACATGATAAAGCTAGTGTTTTCAGATATGACTGGGGCGTTGATAGTTACTCACACGTGCTTCGTGAAATGTCATTTTGCAACAGACTTAGGAGGCACAAAATATACACTGTCTTTTACACCAATATCACTGTAGAAACACCTCAAGGAGAAAACAGTAACTGAATATATAATAATCATAACATTATTTCTAATGTTGACAATAGAAGCAATTTCTACGTCTTTTTCAGCAGAATGCCTATCTGAGTTATGAGCTACCTATTCCATGATATAGTATGCAACTAAAATATTATGAAAAATATTGTGAGGTTTAAAAATCATGCTTAGACCCCAGCTCAGATGTAGCCCATAGACTCAGTCTCCAAGTGGGTTCCCTAATAAGGGGAGCATGGGCTTCCTCTGGCATGAACTCAGTGACAGGCTCTCTGATCACCTCCCCCTGGAAGGGTGCAGCCTTGCCTGGCCACAGAGAAAGACAATGCAAACAGTCCTGATGAGACCTGATAGGCTAGGGTCAGATGGAAGGGGAGGAGGACCTTCCTTATCAGTGGACTAGGGGAGGGGCATAGGGGGAGATGAGGGAGAGAGGGGTGGGATTGGGAGGAGATGAGGAAGAAGACACAGCTGGGATAGAAATTGAATAAACTGTAATAAATGATAATAATAAAAAAATTAAAAATAAAAAATTGTGCTTAGGTTTTATAAAGATTATGTCTAAACTGGGGGGAAATGACACCTTTTTTAAAATCTGCCAGCTGTAGAGTTTTATTTTTGTTTCTATTGGTAAGTATTTGCTATACTATAACTGGTGCAGTAGATTTAATAAATTTTTTAAACACTACCTAGTCCTTCCCATGGCCTTTAGGGGAAAACAAAACTATTTAGCATGTGTTTCCTCAACTTGCCCCACCTACATGTCTAATTTCCTGTGCATGTCATCTTTGCTGCCTTCTCGAAGATGAGAACATGTTCTTGCAAAATCAGTCACACATCCATAGACCTTGACTACATCCTCTCCATCAGTTGCCATCTCCAGGCTATGTGTTTTTCTGCCCAGGGTCCATACTCTATTTTCTATCAGGAGCCCTATTTCCTATCTTTAGTCTCAAGGCTTCATCTCTAGGTTTTAACCAAACAATTAACTCTGTCTTCATCAGTATGGACCCTTTAGTTCATTAAAGCCAATTCTTATCAAACCAGAATCAGGACCAGAATTTTAATGTTTCCATTTAATATTATTAGCAGAGAATCTTGATTATGGAGTTGAAAAACTGAATGGTTGGGATGGAGAGATGGCTCATCTGTAAAGAGTTCAGTGACTAGCACTAACGTCCTATGGTAACAAGCACCTGCAACTCCATCTCCAAGGAATCCAGTGCTTTCTTCTGGCCTCTGTACACACCTGCACAGACACACTGTGACACAGACAATATACACAGACACACTGGGAGACATGTAAATAAAAATAAAACCAAAGTCTCTTTTTAAAAACTGAACAATTAGAAATTATTTCTACCACAATATATGAATGCATCTATTGCTAATCGTTTGGTGCATGTAATCACATGAAAACCTTCCAAGAAATAACAACAAAAACAAAACAACCTTCTATACCAAAGGCAAGAGCCAAGAAAAGAATGCAAAGAGCCTAAAGGGAATAACACTCTAAATCTTTTACTTCTTTTGACTCAGATCTCAAATGGGGTCTGAGCAGTCTTTAGGGTTCCAAGGTGTGCTAGTCAGTGTTTTCTTGCTGTGACCAAAATTCAAGTTGGGAAGGAAAGGGTTTCAGTTTATACTTCACCAGATCATCACTGGAGAAAGTCAGGGCAGAATTCAAACAGGGGTGGAATGTGCAGACAGGAGCTGATGCACAAGCCATGGAGGGTGCTGCTTACTGGTTTGCTTTTCCTGGTCTGCTCAGCCGGCCTTCTTATAAGAACCCAGGACCACCAACCCAGGGATGGCACCACCCGTAATGGGCTGGGCCCTCCCATATTGCTAATTGAAAATTGCCCTGCAGCTGGATCTCATGGAGGCATTTTCTCAGCTGAGGCTCCTTTCTCTGTGAGAATTCTCACTTGTATCAGGTTGACACACAAACCCAGCCAGTACACATGGGGTCTCACTTTTCCCAATGCATGGAAATTTAGGGTTAAACCATGGCATCTCTAAACTCTTCCCCCCAGTTTCTGCCCCACAGTGGTCTGCAGAGAGTCACTGCAATGGAGGGGAATTGGAGTGGACAGGCAAAAGAATCCTTTATTTGAATTTTTGTGTCAGGAAAAGCAAGCAAGAAGGCTTTCACTGCCATCAACTCTCTTCTTGAGAGTAGAGAAAAACAGAATCCGTGTCTTTGAAACCGCCTCCAGAAATAAAGGCTCCATGCCTGTATCTGGGACATGTAACTGGAAACTGACTTATTGAAGCAATTAAGTACCATTTATCCATTTCTTTCCAAGCTACAATACAATTCCTATTAAGGATTGTTTCAAGAAATGGGGGGGGGGGGAGAGGGAGAGAGGGTGGAACTGGGAGGAGTTGAGAGAAGGAGCTTCAATAAATTGTGAAAAAATAATAAAAATTAAAATAAAAAAGAAATGTCTTTATGTTTCCAATAAGACATCTGGCAAACAATCACTGTGCTCTGTGCTTAAAGGTCCACAGCATAAAAAGTCACAGAAATCATCCTAGAACACAGGAGAATATCTGTCTCCTTTGAGGCACAATGTATATCCCTTGGAACACACAGGAAAAGCAAAGAGGTTCTCCTTTTTCTCTGTAGATGCTCAAATTCCACGACCCCTTACCTATTTTGTCTTCAACATTTCCAAATGTTCCACACTACCTCATCATTAGGCTTTTGTTCTTTTCTTTGGCCTTCATTCTTGATTATGTCCTTTTTTAGTGCATATATATATATATATATATATATATATATATATATATATATATATCATAAATAAAATAAAACTTTTTTAAAAATACATAAAGCCATATATCATGCTCTGGGACAATGGTACTTAGTGATCTTTCCTGTCTGCTGGAAGTTTTCATGTAAGAAGTTGACTGGCAGGGACCCAATATAAGAAATGGCTGTAGTGAGGTAAGGTGAAGAGATGGCTCAGTCAGTAAACTTGTCATATAGACCTGAGTTTGAACCCCAAAACTCACACCTGAAAAGCCAGGAGTGACAGTGTGCATTTGCAATCTCAGTGCTGGAGAGGCAAAAGCAGGAGAATCCCTAAGGATTGCTGCCAGCAAGGATAGCCTAATTGGTAGGTTCCACACCACATGAGAGATGCTTTCTCAAAAAACAAAGTGGATAGCCACTCACCTCTACATAAATCTGTACAAATGTGTATACAGAGAGAAAGAGAGAGAACAAACTCCAGGCAGGTAATAAACTACTTGTTGTTCTTTTCTGCTTTATTACTTCGTGTTTTCATATAAGTTTTAGACTGTTGGGCATCATGTTCCAGGAAGATTCACTGTGGTAAATAAGTTCATTCCTGTGGTATCTTGTAGGTGAGGTACCCAAGACCCTTCTTAGTTTTTATACTACTACAATATCATGATTGTAGTACTCTATTGTGCGTGCACTAGTTCCCCTTTATCAAAAGAGAATCCATTCCAAGATCACCAGTGGATGCTCGGAACCACAGACCCTCCTGACTGATCCTCCCCCTAAGGTGGAAGGGTTGCCCTATTCATCTTTACTGTAGAGCTTGGAAACTTACATATTTTTTCATTCCTTAGTAAGTAAAGACTTTTTTACCTTTTCATGTAAAATGAATATTTTATAGCTTCTCTTTGACCACCAATCATTATTCTTACAGTTTGGCATCATTAGTCAGTAAAAACAGGGTTGCCTGAACATAAGCACTGATGATGAGACAACTAAATGCCTAATTGGCAGGTAGCAGGGACCATCCACTCCTTAAGCATGACATTTCATTATGCTTTTCAAAGTGGCATGTAATTTCAGGCTTCTTGTTTACTTCAGGAATTACCTATATAATATTTTCAGGTCTTGGTTATCTAGGTAACTGAAATCATAGAAAGTAAAACTGCACAAATAATATATTTGATTAGACAGACAGACGGACAGACAGACAGAAAACAAATTTGATTTGAGGACCATCCTAAATATCTACTAAAGGCTATAAACTCTCTTCAAAAAAAATCAACATATAGACATGTACTGATATATGCAGGTGATTCCAATGGATTCCATCCCTCTAAAACAGAGCAAAGGCTCCACTACACTAATAACATTGGTTTCATGGTAAGCAGATGTCTGCAGAGTATAGGAAAGGAAGCAAAACAAAGATTTAGCAAGCCTTGGTCAACTTCTTATGCCCAAGCCAAC